GTTTTCATATTGGAAAAATGATTCTACTACAATTAAAATAGTGTAGTGTGCCTTACAAAAAGTACCAAAGACACATTTAAAAGTAAAAATGCTTATGCATTTCCATTCAATAACTAATTTTCTGGGTTTTTTTTCCAAAAGTTTTACCACATGAATTGGTATACATACTGAAGTACTAAATACAGTTTTATTATAAAGTATAAAAATAGCATAATAAAGCTTTTTGTATGCCTCTTAAGAAAGAACAAAACATAAGTTGCAGACATCCTATGAAGTGTTGTTTCAGCATATGGTGCATCTGTCATCTTCTATGTACAGAAGAAGATTTTTTTTTAATAATTTTTGTCTTTTTTTATTTGTTGTCTTTGGTACATTTTCTTTTACATACATATTAAACCCCAAAACATTCAGAATCGTATCTTAACTCTGATATAAATTAAAGCTGGAGCACCAAACTTTTGGTTCAGTTGTTACTGTCAAATTCTGTACTTTCTATTTTAACTACATTTGGCATGTAAGAAGCTCACAGCTGACTCAAAGGAAACTTGGAGAAATGTACACCATTTCCCAATAGCCTTTCTCTATAACAGAAGAGATACTGGGACGGCATTTAATAATTTTTGGCTTGTTTTGCCATATGCGTCCGGGGGGAAAAGTGTTCTTGATTCGCTGGAGATGGGAAACACCCACCATAGTTAGCAGTCTGTATGTGTCATCTTTCAAAGGACTCATTCTCAAGCAGCTGTCCAGCTGGAAATTTTGGGGATACATGGAAAGGAGTACAGGAAAGACTTAACAGCTTGTGGGGTTTTTTTTTCCTGCTAGTTTGTCTCATAGTTTTTACTGTGTATCCCTCGATCAGACTTTCCGGAATTTTAATGTAAACTTAATTGGTGTGACTTCCGTGGAGTACCATCAGAGAGGGTGATGTGAAACAGCATTTCTCCCACTGAGAGAGTTGTCAGCTTTTTAGCCTGCGTGGATGCAATCGTGTTGTGCAGGCCTGATGTCGAGGTCGCTGTTGCTTTCAGGGAAGCAGGACTGCTGGCTTATGCCCATCTTGTCAACTGGTCCTTTGGTCTGTCTTCATCGCCTTTGTAAAAGCAGCTAAGTGCTTTCTGACAGGAGCTCCCCTTGGCTGACAAGCAGTGATCCTCGCGCTGATACCCGTGTGTTTTGAGACTTGGCATGAGGGGAGGCAGAGTGGATGGCATTTTCTGAGAGTTGGCTGCCGGAGGAAGGTGGAGCCTGCCATTTGTTATGGCAATTTTTTGATATTAAGGTCCTGATTTTGAAAGCTGAAAGTTGGGAGATCTCATGTGTTCCCATTGCTCCCCCCCCCGCCCCCAGCAATACCGCTTTGCCCTTTCTGTTGCCCCTAAGGGTCAGTTTTCTCCCAGCCATCCTTTTCCATGTTTCTTCCCAATTCAGAGGAAGAGGGAGAAGAGACCCCTGTGCCTACCTGCTGTTCCCAGGGGACACTGGTGAGATGCCAGTGACTGTTCCTTGAGATGCCAATGACTGTTCCTCATCCTTTGTGCACGTGGCACAAAATGCAAGATTTTTAACTAACATATTGGAGAAATGTTAATGTGTACTGTTAATGTGTCAGTGTCCGCAGTTAAGAATTTCTGGTTATTTTAAAAATGCGTCATATAGTTCCACATAATAAATGAAAAAAATTCGCCTCCTTTATAAAACTTTTTTCGAGCTCCGAGGAGAGGGAACACTAAATGGTGCATATATGTGTGAATATATGTTTGCATATAATACAACTGTATGTATATGGTTTTAAAAGTGTGTGTGAGAATGAGGTATGCAGTAACTGAATTTTAAGGATACTTGTATCATTGGACAGTAAATTTGATCAGTAATTAAACGTAACAAATTTGAATATTCAAGTTCAGTTCAATATTCATATCTCTTATAATCAATCACAACAAAATAATATTAAAAGCTAGTATATGATTTAGTTAAAACTGCTGCTCAGAGAAGAATAATAAAATTACGCTTTTGGTAATAGCATGGAAATATATTTATGCCAAATATAAAACTACTAATTGGATAGCACACAAACTGTTGCCTTGAAGTATATACAGTGCAAGTATACAAAGTCAAAGTACTGATGTTATTCATGCTTTGCTTCTTGCAGAAGCAAAACTAGCTGTTACAGGAAGAGTCAAAATCAGCTTCATTATAAGGCCAGGCAATTCTGTTGTCTTCAATCGAAATCTGCCCCTGGTTTTACCCAAAGGGCTAGGTTTGGTTAACAAGCGTAATATATTGTCAGTAGTTCTAATAATTTGTTGTGTAGTCAATTTTTATCTTAAATAGTAACTGATAGAAGATTGTAAATTTGATAATGTTTTCTTGTAGCAAGGACTATTTTGCTTCCATGTTGTAGGGTTCCCCACCCCCGGTAGTTTTATTTTTATGTGAGAGAGGCTATTCTCACCATTTGTGATCTAAGTGAATTCCTGCAGTTAAATGTAGATGTTCTTTCTGGAAGAAAAATACAAGCTAACAAATTCTGCTATTGCATGAACAAGCAGGGCAAAATTGTCTCAACTATTTACATTATTTTCATCCTGACTTTTGGAGTAAGGATTTGGGTCCATTATTGGATGTTTAGCTTTCAGCCGGGTAAGCAATCTCTGGCCTGTTATGTTTTACCAATATTGCACATCATTGTATTATTTAGCTGTTTAATATCTGTATTCGATGTGTCGTATTTATCTTATGATATTATATCATATCACATCTATAGTTTACCTTAGAGGGTTTTGCTTTCCTGCGTTTGTGGGCTTTTTTCAGAGAAGTTGCTGATTCTCTGTGAAATAAAGCCTGCACAGAGTATCTTCATGTCAGTTTTCTTACATTCATGTAGGAGGAAGTAGATCTTTAGTAGACACATGGTACTGCAGGTTTGTGAGAGGGAGCAGTGCATCTGTATGTAGACTGGCCTATGGATTGGTTGGTTTTGATTTTTTTTGGAATATAGCTAGTAATAAAGTGTGATATTTATTGATGCACCCGGTGACATGTCTGTGAGGAAAGCTCGTCAGTGCATCACAGGCTGGTAGAAATGTAACTGAGATAAAAATATTCCTAAGGAGGAATGCCTGAGGGAGATTGTTGAAGTTTGCCCTGACTGGAGCTGTCAAGTTTCTGTTCAACAGTGAAGTTAACAGAGTAGTAAGAAACTGGGTAATTCTAAAAATATTATTCCAGTTGTTGCTTACATAAATGACATTGCATTTTAATTCTTACGTATATGGGTAGCTGTGGCAGTTTGAATTTTTTTTTTAGATCATCAGCTTAGACTTACGATACTTATTGTACTAAAACATTTGCAAGTTTTAGTTATAAAATGTCTGCTGCATTTATTCTATTGAAATGAACATACATGGTTACAAAGTGAGACTTCACTCTATTTCAGTGAGCTCCATAAGGTCAATTAAAACTGAGGGTGCTGGGACATATAGCTGTAGTATATGTTGAGACAGAAACAGTTTGATAGATAAACCATAACCTGAAGAAGTGCATGAACTTGAGTTTTAATTGTGAAGATTTTATGGAATTTGGTAATATAAATGAAAAATGGGAAATTGCTGTCATTATTTGTTCTAGATAAAATCTTGCAGAAGCGTTTGCCAGCCACTTCACTGGTTTAAAAAACAGGCTAATATTAAAATAAGAGTAGTAAAATCTGCCTGGAGGACACGTGTTTGAAGATGACTTGCTTTAAAAGCTTACTGTTCTATATAGTATGCATATTTTTCTTGGAAACAAAGTATGTCTTTATTTCGATCCAGTTACTTGTACTTGCAGAAATATGTTTGTGGTATAGGAGCTCATTTTATAACAAAACAAGCCATACCAAAGTGAACTGCAAGTGCATAGTGAAAACATTGATAAAGGTAACAAGGACATTACAGAAATTGCTTGGTCTCCTGAATATATTACTTCATTCCTATTTCTCATAGAGATAAAATAGACTCTCTGTACTCAGTAGTTGTACCAGTTAACATTTCTTCTGTTGCTTAAGGGCTGAGTTTTGTCCTCAGCTAAGTCAGTGGGAATTGACTTAACATCCACTGGCAAATCTGTCTTGGAACTCTATTACATTAATAGTTTGGATGAGATTGAGTTGACTGCAAGGGAAAAATGAGCTGTCAGCTGTATCTCATCCAAACATAAAACATGTAAAACATAAAAAAAATGGTTAGTACTGAGCTAATGCATTGATGGACTATTTTGTGGGAGAATGAAAGCAAATTCTCCAGTGAAGTGCAATATACAGCTGCCTTCAAAACCACATTTTTATTTATTGGTAGGAATGTGTCTGTGCCAAATAGTCTGCCCAAAATTGTAATCACCAGTTCAGATTTTGCAGGTGCTTGATGTGTATTCATTTTTGCTTTGATTTTTCCAAAGCACACTGCTTATGTTACGCACACATTATAAAGGACAGCCTCTTTAACTATATATGCAGTATTGCCCTCGCTATATACATTTTTTGCTTCTGCTTTAAAGTGGCAGACAACCACATTATCAAGGTCACTTTCAGCAAACCCTCATGTGCACTCAAGTGTTGAATATTCACTTTGGGCTGCCCAAGAATCATCCTAACCAGTTGGACCTTCTGTTTATGGCTAAAAACCATTTCCAGTTGCTTTATGTCGTGCAATGTAAAACAATGAAACAGCTGGTTGTTTCTGTGTCATATCTGTCATCTAGGGTCTTAGTCTCAGATCTGGCTGCGGTTCTTAGCTTTCAGCAGCAGCAAGCAAAATGCCTGCGCTGCCCCTTGCCAGTGCCCACTGCAAATACTCGCTCTCTGGGGACTCCGATTCCCCGATAAACAGTGGTTAAGACGGACTAAGAAGAAGGCACTGTAAAGCTGGGGCTTGTGGGGGACTCCAAAGGCTTGGCACCATGGGAAGAGAATTCCTGTTGTTCTGCCTCTCAACGCCTGGGCTTTTTTTGGACTGAGCAACATGTTGGGACCAGCTGTAGGAGAGCGAGGAGCTGGATGGAAGCGGGAAAAAAGGAACGATGCCTTTGCTGTGCGGTTGTTGGGTAATTCCTAGAGAAGTTAAAATTCATTATAGCCCAATTAAATGGTCCCCCACACAGCCGGTCATTCTTTTTGCATGTCAGGGACAGGTTTTGGTACAAATGCCATACTCTAAAACACACAGGTCCCTTCTGATGGTTTGATCGCTTTTCCAGATAGTTTTAGGCTCAAAAGGGAGCGTTAGAGTTCCTCACTTTCAAAGATACATATCTTGTCTTCCACACTCGTCCTCCTTGTTCTCACTCAGGACAATATGTATGTTTGGTTTTTGTTGTGGTTTTTTTTTTTTTTTTTTTAAATTGAAAAACCCCTTTGTCTACAGACCCTTTTTAGATCTGCCTGTTAAAATACTTAGCAGAGGTCTTTAATGAATCCCAGGATTTCTGTCTCCTCCTCTCTTGGGGAAATTGCCAGAACTCAGTCTCTTATTTTTGCATTTGGTGAATGGAAATTTGGAGAGACTAGGTTTTTTGATCAGGCACGCTGCTTCCTGAACAGTCCCTGAAAGCTTTTATTGCCCTCTCAGCCCATCACAGACACCTTTCCCAGGAGTGCACCTCACGGAGCCAGACTGGTGGTGCACCAGTAGTCTGGAACAGGACATCACCTTTCAGTTTGCCCAAGAGGCAGGCTTGTTAATAGAAACCCCAGCAATAAAAACTTGAACCCTGACTTCTGAATAATCAGCTAAAGTTGCTTTAGTGTAGATCTGACCTTTGCCTTCCATCAGCACAACAAACACTCCATAAAACAATAACAGATAAGTAACTTTCATCTTGCAAGCCACGCTTATCTCCATGAAACAAAATTGCTGTGTAGCATCTCCCCTTTATATCCAGTATTATTTTCTTTCAGATGGATTTCCCTTCCAGAGCTTGTAAGTTACAAGGTTGTCCCTAGGTTTGTTGGCTATATTTAGAAAGTTCCTATTACATTTTTCTTTTATTTTCTTGTTTATACTGGCCGGAAGAACAAAATTAAAATTTTCATCTCAGGTTGAAGCATAATTTGGTGTGATTGCTCAGCTTCTGATCTCACCACCAAGAATGTCTTGTTTTAGGAGTTGATAAAAATATTTGGCTGTGTTTCACCTCAGTCACTCTTGGCAGTTCTTCATCTGCTCTTCTGGGGTTTCCATCTGCTCTTTTATTCTGCAGTTTCTTCTTTAGGCCCCAATTCAGCACCCACAATTGCAAGTGAAAAACTCACTGATTTTCTGAGGGTATGGGGTTGGATGCAGGTGCTATTCTGCATCTCGGTCAGAATCTTCCAGTAGTTTATCTCGCTGCTGAAATGGAGAATATGGCAATTCCCTGCGGCTTTGAGTGTTCCTTTGTTCTTCCTCCCTCACAGGTGTCCAATGATTTAACCTAGAGCTGTATACATTACTTAAAAAAAACCCCAAACCAACAGATCTATAAAAATTAAATATGTCACAAGGGCTAAGGAAAATATTTTTTTATCTGATGAACTTTTCAAATTAAAGTCTTTTTAGTTACAGAACAAAGCTTATGAAGTGCTTATGAATACATGTGAAATTGGATTTATTAAAAAACTCTTGTTAATTTTTATTCAGTAATTTCATACTTGTCCTGTTAGTTAAGGACTTTTAATTTAAAAAAAAAAAATCACAACTCATAATAGGGGTTATTGATGCTGAATAATCTCAGCTGATTAAGTTGCTAACCAGCACACTGCATTATATAGAAAAAAAATCACACATACATGACTGTCTGCTTACTTATGTATTTCACTTTCAAATGTGCTTTTCATTTCACATCTTTTTTTTTTTTTAACCTCTTATCCATGGATTTTTTGCAGAAAGCACAATCAAAGCTTCCCTTATCATGTAGCTAGTGAAAATGTAATTGTAGTTGTGTAGTGCTTGTGTATCGAAAGGCATTATGTCATAGTGAAAACCATATATTCGTTACTTGTAGGAGACAGCTTGTCTGACTAAATGTAAAGCTTAACCAGAAGGTTTAGAAGGTAACAGAAGAAGGAAGAACTTGGTAGTGAATAGATGCATAATGAATTGATTTATTCACTGCTTTTCTCATAGTTTTTTTCACCTGCTCTTGTAATGTACATTTTGACATACTGAGAATTTACTGAATTGTAGGGGGGAAAAAAAAAAAAGTCCAGTGTCTGCCTAGCACTGACATTTATGACAGCCTCCCATTGAGTTAGCGGTTTTTTTTACCATATAGAATGCTGACAACTTATAATGTAAAAGCTTTTCAATAACTTTAATAGTGAAAAAGATTATTGAACAAAAAAAGTCATTTAATATGCTGAAAAATAAAAATCTTTAGGTTATCTGTTTAATGAAGCATGCCATCCACACAAGCTCTTGTTTTCCTTTCAAACAACCGTTTCTTATATTCCACTAGTACTTTTTGCTTTCTCCTATCTGTTGTGTAAACTGGAGAGATTTCCAGCAGAATCGTATGTGGAAGATTGTTGGTTTTTAATTTTATCTCCCTTTCATTTTCAAAAACAACCGTGAACACATAAGTGTTTTCCTTTGATCACGAAAATCATTAGAATGCAATATTCCGCTGCCTCTACGGGAGAGAAAGCCTAGGGAGCCTAAAAAAATCTTTTAAGCTTTAAACAACAACAACAAAAAATTCTACCATGTATTAGCAAATCAGCTATTCAGGGTGTTTCCAGGCATAATGATGTGATCACGGCAGACAAAATCCAGGGAGAAGTGTTGCACTGGTTCATCTTTTATTCCTTACCTCCCAAATCTGCCTAAGTCAGCTTTTAACATTTCCCACCGACTCAGAGAGTTGAAGGCAGCTGGTTATTGCTCTCCCAGGTAACTGTGCCCAGTGTGCCTGGGGCAGCTGCTGGAAGAAAATTCTCACCCTGCAACTCCTGGCAGGCTGAGCAGGAGTGCAGGTGGGGGCACTGCATCAGCACCCAACGGAGTCTGCAGACCTGCCGGCTTCCGCTGTGAGCCTCTTGCCAGTGCAATCGCTTCTCTCTCTCTCTGTACGTTGCTGCCTAAATATACCTTCTTCCTTCTGTCCATTTGAGAGTGTAAGAAGGTACCTGGTATATGGAAGCTGTCTGGGATGCTGCCCCCGTCGTATTTTCCAAAAACAAAAGGGGAAAATTAATTCTTCCTTTATCAGAGGGGAAACTTGTTCCCAGATTTAAGCCCTGAGGATTTAAATTAAACTTCGCAACACTTGATGAACCCTTTGTCACAAGAATCAATTGCATACCCCTACTGCGTCATCGTCTGTATTCAGAAGTGACCCAGTTTCCACTCAATTGGTCATGCCGTAAACAGAACATTGCAGACAGGTGCTTGCCATCACTGCCACCAGTAAGTCCTGAAGTACCACTGCCTGCCAATGTCATGAGCAGTAAAGGCTGGTGGATGGTCTGTTACCTGCATTGCCATGAGGAACCACCAGCAGATAGGGAAGCCAACAGGAGGGGGATTTTGCCACACTGGTGGCAGGGAAGGAGGAGTGAAACGAAAAGATTTGTTTCCTCTCTTGTTTTTGGAGAAAGTGTGGAAATGACAGGTTTTTGGAGTTCCTGAGGACAAGAACTATTTCCAAGTGAGGAAGATGTTTTTGAGGAGGGCACTCATGTAAAAACTGACTGGCTTGTATTACGGCTTAATGTGGTAAAAGTATACAAATAGTCTGGTTAAGCAGAAGCTCTGGTCAGAGGTCCATTTACTACTACACTTCTACCCTTCGCTTAAAAGCTTGGAGAAATTTTGCTGTTGGCTTCTATACAGCCAGAATTTGTCCTTTGACTTTTTTGTTTTGCTTATAACTAATGAATCATTGTCCTAAATACTTTTGTTCTGACTCAGTATAAAAATTTATGGCGGTCAGCATCAATGTTTAATATACGGGGTGTCACTGGATTGCAGTGTAAATCATTATAGGCATACATATGTAATACTTCCTAAAAGACATCGTTAGGCAGGTGGCAAAGTGTATCAGTGGAGTTGTTTTTTTTTTGTGATTTTAACTAAGTTTGCGGTTGGACAACAGCTATTTATAGCTTTGCAGTTATGTCTACCTTGAGTCCAAGAAATTCAGTATAGCGGTAAAAGAATAACATTGAGAAGAAGGCGCTTGCTTGGATAATGGTTGAAGGCTCAAAGAGAGAAAACCAGCCTTCCCACGGCTTTGTTTTTGCTGTGAAGTACTTTGTGTATAATCTTATCCTAGTTATTTATTGTACCTTATTCATGCCAATACAGGGATAAAAACAGGACCTCTTTAAAATGGTTTTGTTTCTAAAGTACCTGAGGGCTTCAAATGAAATGTGTCTTGCACTCCATCTGAAAAAATGATCTCTTGCAAACTTTGCCCAGGAAAATTTTATATTTGTATGGATGGATGTCTGGCCTGGGAGATCATCTCCAGTGACTCAGTGCATATGCTGATATGTTGCTATTGACAGAAATGGAAATTCTGGCGCACACAAAATGTTTCTTTCAGGGACCGTGTTAGGAGCTGCTTTGGGAGATCTGGCCCTATAAGCACAAAGGATATTTACAGTTCTCGTGGCGGTATTCCAGCACTGGTTCTAGGTGGGAATCCAAGCTTCTATGAAAGATGTCACTGTTGCTGTGTACTTTATTCCAAAAATCTTCGCTTCCACTGCTGTCTGAAAATACAGCATATACCTGGATGCTCACTCAGATACTCAGGTCTCTGATATAGAGCAGAACTGTGTTACAAGTTATGTTGGTCTTACGGGCACGTGTATTGGCTGAAAAACATAAAGGAAAAGACCAACAAGTTTCTCAGCAAGAAAAGGATATGTTTCTGTAAAATTGATGTTATTAATAGCTTTTCAGTTGGTCTCATGAAGTAAATGGAGCTCACATACAAATGCTGTGGTTTTCTGCTTTTATATGTTTGTCTCTTAAAGAGACAAAGATGTGTTATGCAAGTTACAAAACAGGGTTTGGATTTCTTTGTTTCTTTTCTTTTTTTTGTCCTTTTAGTCCTTC